GCCTCCAAGGATGTAGCTTGGGAGGTTTAGAAGCTGAATGATTATTTTTGTGATTATCTTTTGTATTACATGTAATTCAAGCTAAGGGCTTAATATGTTAAGAATTAGAACTCTCTTTTGTTGAAATTAAGTGTTGACTTGGAAAGTTGTAACCTCGTAGGGCATTTACTTTTGCGGTCAACATGTAATACTTTTTGTACTAAATACTCTGATAAATAGAAATGTGTTTTATTCTCTTATGTCTATGGATGTCATGAATGAATGGTTTTATAAGTATTATTTTGAGGGCGTTACAGTTAGATATTTAGACCAAAAAATGTGATAAGGCAAAAACAGACCGTTTGGGGCCAAAAATTGGAAATAGCCTCGAAACACCCCCGAGATCATAATGATCACTTCGGCCTAGATTGAAGAAACTTGTGAGAGCAAGCGGCATGTCAATAGGGTGCACGGTTAAATATTTAGACCAAAAAAATGTGATGAAAAAAGGCAAAAACGGGCTGTTTGGGGGCCATAATTGGAAACAGCCTCGAAACAACCTCGATATCATAACGGTCACCTTGGCTTAGATTAAACAAACTTGTGAGAGCAAACTGCGCGTCGATAGGACGCACGGTTAGATATTTAGACCAAAAAATGTGATGAGGCAAAAACGGACCGTTTGGAGCCAAATATTAGAAATAGCATTGAAACATCCCCGAGATTATAACGATCACCTCGGCCTAGATTAAAAAAACTTGTGAGAGCAAGCGGCATGTCAAATGGATGCATAGTTAGATATTTAGACGAAAAAATGTGATGAAAAAAAAAGTAAGAATGGGCCGTTTGGGGGCAAAAATTGAAAACAACCTCGAAACGCCACCGAGATAATAACGGTCACCTCGGCCTAAATTAAAGAAACTTGTGAGAGCAAGCAGCGTGTCGATAGGATACAAGGTTAGATATGTAGACAAAAAAATGTGATGAAAAAAGGCGAAAATGGGCCGTTTGGGAGCAACAATTGGAAATAGTCTTGAAATAGCCCCGATATCATAATGGTCAGCTCGGCTTAGATTAAACAAACTTGTGAGAGAAAATGGCTCGTCGATAGGACACACAGCTAGATATTTAGACCAAAAAATGTGATAAGAAAGGCAAAAACGGGCCATTTGGGGTTAGACATTGGAAACAGCCTCAAAACACCCCCGAGATTATAATGATTACCTCGGCTTAGATTAAAGAAACTTGTTAGAATTGTAATGTTTATTGGATATATACATATGAATGCTGTTGTTTTATTTACAAAATGATATTCATAGTCATTTAATTTGTTCATGTTACCTTTACTTTCCAAGGACATTTTTCATTTTTTGTTAAATTTTATAATAATTTGATGTGCAAATATTTTCATAAAAAAATTACCTGACATTATTTCTCTTTTTCTTTGGTACAAACGGATGAACTTGTGCATGAAGTTAAATTGTACAGGACTAGTTGGCACTTGTTCCATTTTTGGAAGGATTAAATATTTTTGGATAGATATGTATGAAAAATATTTCAGTAGACTAGTAGTTATATTTTTGGATGGGTGTGTATGGAAATATTTGGGTAGACTACTAGTTATATTTTTTGATAGATGCACATGGATAAAAATTTAAAATATAATAACAAATACTAGTTATGTTTTAAATTTTTATACTAGATAGATGTGAATTGGATGATTATATAGATTACAAGTGGATTTTAATTGGAAGAATATGTAATTTGGAACTACTTGTGAATGAAAACTTATAATAGTTGATGACTTCAATTGAATAGGTTCAGGCTTGGATGATTTATGTATTTTATTGAATGTTCATGATTCAGTTGATTTATTGGTTTGAATGATTCTTGCAAATTACAGATTATATTGAATAGATTGGATGGATTATTATAAATTATAGGTTTATTTTGTTGGATGTTGGCGACCAAATTTTGGTTTTGTTTTTCCTGTTTTGGCGACTGAGTGATTAGTCGAGAAAGATAAGTAATACTTTTGCCGACTAAATAAGTAATGTTGGTAGGCAAGAGGGTACATTTGGCGACTAAATAATTAGTCATTAAAATTATTAATTTTGGCAATCAAAGGATTTGGTTGCTAATAGGTCTATTACCTACTAAAGTTTTAGTTGCGCAAACATTACTTTTGGCTACTAACATATTTGGTCGTGGCATGTGACTTTTGGTAATTAACATGTTTGGTCGTGGCATGTAACAATTGGCGACTAACATGTTTGATTGTAGAATGTGGCAATTGGTAACTAACATATTTAGTTGGGAAAATATCACTTTTGGCGACTAAAATGTTTTAGTTACAAAATGGTTTAATCGCTGTAATTATATATTTAACGAATAAAAATTAAGTCGGCAAATAAACCTTTTTCCGGACTAAAATTTCTTTTAATCACTACTTACTTTTCCTGACCCTCTATTGGCGACTTAAAAATTAGTCGCGGAAAATTTTTATCGACTAAAAACAGACTTTTGCCGATTAAAATTTTATTCGGCAAAAATGCAACCGTTAACAAGGCTAGCAGAAATTAAAAGTGAAAAACAAAAGATAAATTTTGATAGAGTGTAACTGTTATACAGTAAGTTTTTTTGTAAATATATAAAGTCTACTGGCATTAGAAAAATGTCACGTATATAAAACTCACTTGACAAGTTCTGTTAGTTTTATTAATGGACAGATCCTATTAGTCTTATTAATGCTAGATGAACAAAACGACGACACTACAGCATGATTTAATTTGAAAGGGATAAACTATTATAATTGGAAATTGACAAGGAAAAGTGAGATTTTGATAAAAAGAGTTTAATAACTTTTTTCAAGTTCAAGTATAAATTTACTGCCATGTTTGAATTGGTGGAATTTATCACAAATTTCGTTTTGATAATTTAAATCGTTCATTTTATAGGGTTATTCATGTATATTATCTTTAAAAAATTATGTCGCTTCATTAATCATAATCATATCATTTTTATTTTATTGCTTTTGTTTTTGAAAAGTGGACAATGAATACGTTTTTTAAAATAATTTATTTATTTAAAAAAAATGCGATAAAATAAAACAGTTTCATAAATGATATATGTAGAAGATTTTACAAAATAAACAATTTAAATAATTAAAACAGAATTTATAATGAGTGTTTTGAGTTTGAATATAAGTTTAGAGGTAATGCTTTATGTTGTACCATATGCAAGTTATATCAAAATTTGAATATAACAAATGACATAATTAAAAAAGAAAATTGAATTATCTATATAATAAAACAAGATAATTTTTGAATTTGTCCTACACACATTTGTCCTACTAGAACATTTGAACGATTTAGATTTATTCAAATTATAAAACAACAGATGAGATATATTTTCAAAAAATATCCTACATGTGCATTTTTTATTTTCCCGCTTCTCTCTCTTACTTTTTCCTTTTCTCATCATCCTTCTATGATCCCATGATCCCATCTTCCTCTCTCTTTTTTTTTTATTTTTTTTTATTTTCTCCCATTTTCATTTTTCTCTCTATTTTTTTTTATTTATTTATTTTTTTTCCTTTTTGTTCACTTATTTTAATTCATATTATATGGAAAAGTTTGCGATCCCAGAATTAAGAGCCATATTTTACTATGCGCAGTAGAGATTATATTAATGAATTTTTTAGTCCACAAATTAAATGAATTTGAACAATTAATTATTATTTTAAATATATTGAATACCTGATTAGACTTCGTAAATTTAGGCATCATATGAATCTTCAACATATTTTAATAAAGCAAGACGGTTTTTGAATCTTCAACATATTTTTGTCCTATTAGGATATTTGGATGGCTCAGATCTATTCAAATTATAAAACAATAATTGAGATATATTTTCCAAAAAATGTTCTACACATATATTTTTTACTTTCCTACTTCTCTCTCTGTTACTGTTTCCTTTTCTCACATCCCTCCATCCATGATCCCAGGATCCTGCCTTGCTCTCTCTCTTTTTTTTTTTTCTCCTGTTTTTATTTTTCTCTGATGGCTCAGATCTATTCAAATTATAAAACAATAATTGAGATATATTTTCCAAAAAATGTTCTACACATATATTTTTTACTTTCCTACTTCTCTCTCTGTTACTGTTTCCTTTTCTCACATCCCTCCATCCATGATCCCAGGATCCCGCCTTGCTCTCTTTTTTTTTTTTTAATTTTCTCCTGTTTTTATTTTTCTCTCTATTTGTTTATTTTTTTTATTTTCTCCTTTTTGTTCAATATATTTTACACATATTTCCATACAATGTATGTATGCCCGTAATACACTAAGACATTACGAGCATGCATACAATTTTCATATAATTATATAAGCAAAAGCAGTATTTTATGTATGCTCGTGAAAATTGTATGTATGCTAGGCACATCTATCTATCTAGCTATATATTATATAAGCCAAAAACAAGTTTTCGTAAGGAGTTTTATGAGAACTCTAAAATTTTATAATAAATTTGTGATTTTATCAAATTACAAAATAAATTTAAATAGTATTGAGATTACAATTATATTCTAATCCTAATATTATTTATACCATGCCTTCGGGCATAGGTATACTCTAGTAATCAAACATAACACAAGATATAATCAAATAACTCTTGGATTATAACTAAAATAATATCATAACTAATATTACAATGTGTCATAACTAAAAAGACAATAAATCACAATTAAAACACAAATATTGTAAAGCCATCCAATGTAATTCAACCTAGGACTTGTTTGGAAACTTGACTATATTAATAACTATTTTAGCTTGATTAAAAAAATGTATTTAGAATAATAATTTAATTTTTTTGTAGTTAATTTAATTTAATAATTGTGAGAATAAAAATGAAATAATTATAACTATTTTAATTTATTTTATTTTTATTAACTATTTTAACTAAAAAAAATAAATAAATAAAGCAACCAAGTTCCCAAACACCCCTATTAATAGAAACTCTCAAAGTCATCGTCTACCCAATCAATCACCCAAAACGAAAACCTTTTCATTCTCATCCTCATTCACAGTCCCAAACTCTCCCAACAATGGCGATCTCTGCAACTCCAAGATCAACAACCCATCTCTGTTTCCTCCTCCTCCTAACCCTCCTCTCTCTCTTCTCTCTCTCCTCCTCCTTCTCCTCCTCCTCCTCCGATGGCTTCTCCCTCGTCTCAGAGCTCCTCACCCTCCAATCCCAATCCGACTCCGGTGTCATCCACCTAACCGACACTCTCATTGCCCACCTCCTCCAACCCACCACAACCCCTCGCCCTTTCTCTCTCCTCATCTTCTTCGACGCTTCTCAGCTCCACGACAAGCACGAACTCCACCTCAAATCGCTCCGATCCGAGTTCTCTCTCATCTCTTCCTCATTCATCTCCAACAACAACCCATCTTCTCAATCCAAGCTCTTCTTCTGCGACATCGAATTCAAAGAATCCCAATCCAGTTTCGCCCAATTCGGTGTCAATTCGCTTCCTCACATTCGCTTAATCCCCTCCACGGCTCGGAATCTCAAGGACGACACTCTCGCAATGGACGCCGGAGACTTCTCTCGTCTCTCCGAGTCCTTGCCTGAATTCATTGAATCCAAAACAAGACTCTCCGTTGGTCCAATTCATCGACCCCCAATTGTTTCAAAGCCTCAATTGATGTTGATTTATGCTGCATTGTTGATTTTGTTGCCATTTATGGTGAAAAAAGTGATTTCTGGGGAGACCCTTCTGACCGATCCTAAGTTTTGGCTCTTCGGAGCTGTCTTTGTCTACTTTTTCAGTGTTTCGGGTGCTATGCATAATATAATTAGGAAAATGCCCATGTTTTTGGCTGATCGGAACGATCCATCGAAGCTTGTTTTCTTCTATCAGGGCTCGGGAATGCAGCTCGGGGCTGAGGGGTTTGCGGTTGGGTTTTTGTATACTATTGTGGGGTTGTTATTGGCTTTTATGACTCATGTTCTTGTGAAAGTGAGGAATGTGACTGTGCAGAGGATGGTTATGATTACCGCGCTGTTGGTTTCGTTTTGGGCGGTGAATAAAGTTGTGTTCTTGGACAATTGGAAGACTGGTTATGGAATTCACATGTACTGGCCTTCGCGGTGGCGGTGAGATCAATGGCTTGCCTTGTTGGTTTCTAGTTATATAGGTAAGAGTTTTATATCAAAAGCAGAATAGTTCACAGAATAATTTTCAGCTTGTTAGTTTTTTGATGAAATGTTTGATTTTTGCTCGAAACATCTATATGACTGTTGCAGTTTTGAATATGAACTAAATGCTATGCTCACACAATGCAGTAGGTTGGTTTTTTTTTTGAAAATGTTAGGCCAAGTTATTGCATTCGTGATGAATTTTGAAATGCAATAGCTGTGTGTTTTTCTCTGCATACACATTTTGGTTCTTTTGTTGGATTTCCTTGCCACTCTAATTTGATAACCACAGAATTTTGTAGAAGTTGCATAATGAAATGAGCAGTGAACAATAATTACACTATGTGTATTTGATTAATAACCTTATAGCCGCTCCAAACCCTGCTTTGGCGGGAGTCTTGTGCATTTACTGCATTGGGTTGCGTTTTGATCATAAAGGAAGAGTGGAAGAAATGAAGAGAAAATAGAATAATTGGAACAGTAGACAGCTGGTAGTGCTGGCAATTGGACAGTTCCCTCTTTGTCAATTGCTATATTTTTTTCAAGGAAGGGTATTCTCTAATTGTGCCACTAGATAAAAGAGTTGTTGATCATGCATTTATTCAAATGAATCAAAGATGTTTTGTCAATAAAAGTGCGCAAATAACTTTGAAGTATAAATGAATGTTGTCTGACTTCAATAAGCAAATTCTTTTCCAAGCAAGTTTTATGATCCTATTAGAGAATAATTTTGTTGCAGTAGAGCTTGTATTACAATATCACTTGGATGTGTCAATATCTTGCTCCACCATGTACTTTTTGACAACACCAATGTTTTCCTCCCTTCTTCTAAACGAGGCTGCTTCATTCTATTTTGGCTATGGAGAGGTTGTGATTGACTAGGCGATATCTTATCACTTGATTTGTTCCTAATTTTTACTAACGAATTCCTCCCAATTCTTAAAAAGAAAATTCATAGCATCATCCTAAGTATAACTTGATCAATTCTTGCAATATTTTACTTATGCTCCATTTGTTTTGGTGGAAACATTTTTCAATAGAATTCATTTTCTATGAATTTTTTTTTTCAAAAAATATTTTTGCAGAAAATATTTTTCTTTGTTCAGTTGCATCTTTGAAATTAATGTACTAGTGGTTGTATTAGTAGTGGTGGTGATGGTGGTAGTGGTAGTTGGGGAGGTGGTGATGGCGGTGGCAGTGTTAGCTAGAAAAGCCCAAACAAATGGAGCATTGGATCTCCTTGTTCTTCCTATTGCTGACTTAGCCTTTTGCATGTGCTCCTTTTAATTCCATATGCAATTTCCTAGTCTCCTAGATGCGTAATATGGTCAAACTAATGTTCTGCACAACATACTTAATAACTTGTCCATCTTTATGATCTTCCTTGCTTGTGCTGGCTCTGTTTTAACTTGCTTGAAAAAAATAGAGTTTTCAGTGACATGATCGTTGCCTGAGTTGAATGTAGGTATCCAATGGATTGTGGAAATTTTACCTGACATTTGAATCTCAACCTTGTGTAACTCCAACTCCAGCTATGGAGATCTATTGCAGTTGTTTCTCAATGTTTAGAAAGTTTTAGTTTTGTGTTGGTCACTTTTATGTACAGTTTGCATGAAATAGACTAAATGCAATGCTTTGACAATGGCATCATAAGTTTGTTGGAATTTTTTAATGTATGCTCTGGTGGTAAGAAGTGTTGTAAATATTCGGATATTGTTTGATTACTGATCCTGCAATTTTTTGACTTTTGTAAGTAACCAACTTATGCTGTCATCATTATTACATGATTGCAAAAATGACCTTTTAATAATTTTGTGGTATCAAATAACCGTGGAAATTTTGTTTCTGAGGCATATAAGAGCTTTTCCTTCTTTTGGGTCTGTGTTGGAAATCATAAGCATCTTTGTTGATTAATCACCTGTTACAGCTTGTAAATGAATAAAACCGAGTTGGGTAGTAGGTATTTCAACTTTGACTTGAAAATTTAGCGAGTTTCATATTATGCTCATGCTTGGCTTGTGTTTGCCTTTCAAACCAATTTCAAATGAGCATTAATTGAATTGAACTCGAGTAGTTTCGTTTTTTATATTGCATACAACATTGTCTAATCAAGTTTGTGAGTTGTTCCAATTTGAACAGAACGGGCTTTAAAATATATTGAAATTTGGTTTATTTGTATAGCAAATAGATTTCGAATGAGTTTTTAATTAGTCAATTATGATTTGAGCTTGAATACGTTGTTTGTTTTACAATCCTATATAAAAGGTGAGATATAGAAACACTGCAGAAGGAGAGAAACGAAAACGCTTTCCAATATGAACTATGAAGTTGCGTTCTTCATGAGATATGTTGCCAATTGTTCAGAGGCATTTTTAATCACTTCTGGTTTCCTATAGTTTCCATTTGCTTGGGCTTTCCCTTTCTTTTGATACTACTTGCTAATAGGAATTAAATTTAACCTTGAAGAAGATTGGAGAAAGAATTGGTTCTTCATGTAATTTTTTGATATTGATGTATACAAGTGTAGTCGGTAACTTTAGTTCTGAAGCTAGTGGGTGGGTGGGATATTGATGAAAGGATAAGCAGATGAACTGGAATGATGTTGGTTGCTATATTTTAGTGGCCCATTACTTGAAGGAATGATGTTTTTGACAGTAGCCATTGACTCCTTTGAAGTGGTGTTTGCCTTTGCTTTGATTTGTTATTGATACTCCTAAAAATGTTTGGAAAAATAAAAAGCCGTTTTTAGTGATATTTATGCAAAAAATTTCACAGAATAATATGGTAGTGACATTTTTGAAATATTATGTTACTTTGAGAGGTGGTATTAGAAGTTAGTCTTCCGGCTTAGTATTTTATTTATTTATTTATTTATTTTATTTTTTTTACATGTTGGGCATTTCTTTAAAAATATTAATGTTTAATATTTTTGTATTTCTTGTTAAGTAAAAATTATAGTTTTAATATTTTATATTTGTTTTATAAGGTAATAATTTAACAATCTCTACACTAACAATTATTATTAAAATAAATATGATTTTATTTAATTATCTCATTATCAATTTCTTTCCTCCTCCTACTAAAAATAAACGGTTCCTTTGGTAAATGCATCATATTATCAAGTGAGTTCGGTGATAAACGACGTGAGTGCATCCGATTGGTCCTGATAAACTCATCATCATTTGACCCCGTACTTCCATGATAGCGATTATATGTTTGTTTGAAAAATTAATTTTTTGATTTTTTAAATAAAGTATATTAAGCCTGTGTTTGACAAGTGAGTTTGCAGATTTTTTTAGCTATTTTAGTCACAAAAAATAAAATAGGCTATTTTAGTCATAACAAACAAAACATCACATTCAACCCATAATCATTACATGCTTCTCTCACAAAAAAACTCAAAAAAGCTAAAAAGTCAAAAAGTCCTTTCCAAACCAAACTTTTAAGCTCAGGCTAAAATAGTCAAAAAAATCAAAAAGTCAAAAAGCCAACTCACTTCCCAAACTAAGCCTAAAAATAGAAATAATATGATTTAAAATAGATTAAAAATTAAAAATTAACTTTAATTAAGTTCTCAAATTAGGCCAAAACAAATAATAATAAGAATATTATATACTAATAAATATATTTTAGTCCCACTATTTGGCTTAGAGCTCACTTAAGTCTCGTTTGGGAAGCGACCTATTTAGTCAAAAAGTTAAAAAGTCACTAAAAAAGATTAAAAAGCCAACAACTCATACTAAAAAGTCAAATATTCTCTTTTCTCTCTACTTTTTGCACATCTTTTCGTAAAAAGTCAAAAAGTCATCTCAAACATACTAATTTTTTTTGGCTCATATTTTAATCAAATAGCCAAAAAGTTACTAAATTAGCCTGTTCCCAAACAAAACATTATGTATTGATAGTTAATTTTTAATTTTTTAATTTTTTTAATCGGTGATGCTAGGGCCTCAAATTGTGAAAGGGTGGTTATGTGTAGTGATGTGTTAAAAAAATAGATATTTTGTACCAATTCAGTTTGGATTGGACTGGTTAGGTGATAAAAGTAATTGATCAGTTATGCTGCTGGTTAAAATTTGTTAATTTCATATAATTTTGTACGAGTCCCTACTAATTGAATCAAAAATATAGCAGAGACTCGTACAAAATCATATGAAATTAAAAAATTTAAACCAACAGTCTAATTGATCAATCAATTTTATCATTCAACTAGTCTAACTTAATCCACTCACCTTATCAAACTACACAAATTAAGTTGGTGCAAGATGTCTAATTTTTTGGCACACCTCTACACATAACCACCCTTCTAAAAAAAACCAAACCAATACACCCTAACAAATAAAAAAAAATAATAATAATAATAATAAAAAGAGAGGAAGTTGATACATTCGAGCCTCACAATTCGAGGCCCTCAAACATTTCCCTTTTTTAATATCATAATGTTTAGGTAATGCCATAATGATATTACAGATGAAAATGCAAAAACTCGAACTAGAATTCAGGGGATTTGGGGTTACTGTGCGGGGCACAACCGTCACTATTGTGTAGCAAAATGAGCCTATTTCGAGGATCATTTCGATAATTCAAACTGTTCACATTTTAAAATACATAAAGTAGAATATGTCTGTAAAAAATCAAATTAATCGAATATCGTTTACATATTCATCCACTCATATTTGTATCTACAAAAATAAATAATAATTGTAATTTAAAGTATTAAAATGAATATAAATGTAAGTGGATGAATGGTAAATGATATCCGATTAACTTGATTTTATGCAAGCATATTCTACTTGATATATTCTAAAATATGAACAATTCAGATTATTGAAATGGGTCTTGAAATGAACCTATTTCACTGCGCAACAGTGATTGTTGTGCCCATGCACAACAGTCACCTCAAATTTGAATTCATGTGGTGTTCGTTATAATTGAAAATTGAAAATTAAATACTAAAAATTAAATGTTTAATTTTTTATACAAAAAAATTATTTGATAAAAAGTGTTAAAGTCAAATAAATTATTTAATATGTAGAAAATAAAATTTGAAATTTATTATTATTATTATTTATTTATTTAATTTTTATATTGTGGTGGCAGTGTGATGGTGGTGGAGAGATAGAAGTTGTGGTGATAATGGAAGGATAGTGTAATTGAAGTAGAGTGGTGTTGTAATGGTGGTGGTAGTGACGATGGTGTAGTGATGGTGGAATGATTGTGGTTTATAATGGTAGTATAGGTGGAGGGTTGCGATGCTTATAGTGTCAATGGCGATAAAGGAATAATGATAGTGACACAGTGATAGTAATGATTGGAGTAATAATTAGGGGTGTAAATTTAGGCCAGCCCATGTCAGGCCTCGCGGGCTCCCGCCAAAAGCCTTAGGCCTAGGGGTATTCGGGCCTATGGGTCAGGCCTCAGGCCGACCCGATAGGCTTAAGCTTGGGCCTGGCCTGGCCTTGCATTTGGATGGGCCTGACCAATTTTGTTTTGTTTTTTTTTACCAAAATTTTATTATTTTTTACTGAAAAAGACACTGGGCCTCAAGCGGGCCGATGGGTGGATCACGGGCCGGGCCAACTTCAAAATGATGGCGCAGTTTAGATTAGGGCCCATCTTGGGTCGCGGGCCATTTTTACACTCTTAGTGATAATGATCCTAAGTTAATAGTAGATGTTGATTCTTACGTAATTCTAAATTCAACCAATGTTAAATAATAATTCAATAAAATGAATTTATATAAAAATTTAAATTTAAAAAAGATGGACTATCTCTTTTTACTTTGTTATATTTTACTTAATTCAATTTTTTTTTTTATATTTTAATAAGTCTTATAGGTGGTATAATCACCAAAATATCATAATAATAATAGAGTGAAACGTATATTAATGTTCACATTGACAATATAAATATTTCATGATGTGAACATTTACACTATCAAATTTATTTAATGTGAATGTTCACTTCATAGAACATTCAAAATAGTCTAAAATAATGCATATGCCAAGAGTTTAAAAAATATTTGTAAGAGTAAAATTGTCTATAAATTACCTTAAATATGATAATTAAGATTTGATGGATCAAATATCTAAATAACAAGACTTGTTGATATATAATAATATCTTTAAACTAATTGAGATACAAGTACTTAAAAGAAATTTTATTATTCGGTATAATCATAAGATTAGACTAATCTCGTTAAATTTATTTTTTATATAAATAATATACTCAACAAATTTTATAATATAAAAATTCAAATTATTAAAATATGACGATATGAGTTCTATCACAGCACCGAATAAAGATTCTCTCATTCATCTCTCTCCTTAACTTCATCTCTCTCCTTAACTTCCTCTTTACTAGGCCATTGAGCTTACTTTTGAGTCCAATTTCGATGATTCGAACCATTCACATTTTAAGATTTGTTGAGTATATTATACTTGTAAAAAATCAAGTTGATAGGATTTCAAAAACTAGTGTCGGATCATCGAACTACAAACTATTTTTTTTAAAAATTTAATAAACAATTTTTCGAACACATACTTTCTGATATCCGATCAATTTAATTTTTTACAGATATTATATATTCAATAAATTTTAAAATGTTAACGGTTTTGATCATTCCAAAAGTAAGCCCAATAACCTAACAAAAAGAAAATTAAAGAGAGATAAAAGAGAAAATTTTGATTCCACAGCACACATCCCCATCCCCATTCCACAGCGCCCATCCCTAAGCCTCCGTTTGGGAAGTGGGTTGGCTTTTTGGCTTTTTTGACTATTTTATCCTGGGCTTAAAAGCTTGGTTTGGAAAGGACTTTTTGGCTTTTTGGCTTTTTTAAGTTTTTTTGTGAGA